ATCATCTAGGGTTCATCAACCCAAAACCATAGTCCAAACACGAAAGAAATACCCCAAATAACTGTAAACTTACAAAAAAACATATATATAACTCTAAGAATATCCCTACCTCAGGCTTGGAAGAGAAAGGAGACGAAACCCCTAGGACTTAACGTTGATGAAAGCTCGATTCAATCAGTGTAAACGTAGCCCTCGTCACCCTTTTCGATTTGGTGTAAAATGCCCTCTCAATTTCTTGGAGATTTTTGCTAAATCTTAGAGAGAAGTTTGGATTTGGGTGTGTTTGTAGAGAGAAGGAAGAGAAAAGATGGATATATATATATAGAGAGAGAAGAGAAAAGATGGATATATATATATAGAGAGAGAAGAGAAAAGATGGATATATATATATAGAGAGAGAAGAGAAAAGGTCTCAAATACGTTTTTGGCATTAGTTTTGAGGACAAGGGATCAAAATTCGAAACAGATGTGCCGAAATCTGCATAAGCGATTCAAATTCTGCACGAGCGGAATTCCGAAGCCGCACGAGCAGATTCTGATGCTCCACAGGCATTTTGCTCCAGAGAAGACCTATAAATTTTCACCAAAATTCGCTTGAGTCGTTGCCAATTCTGCACGAGTGGTTTTGCCCAGAAACCCAAAAATTGATTTTGCATCGCAAAACAAGTTCCAATGCCTAAAACTCAAAATTTTTAATTTGGAAATGTTAAGAGAAGTTGAGTAAGAGAAGAAAAGAAATCTTAACAACCCAATATGATAATCAAAGCGTCGAAAGTATAACAAACTATCTTACTACGCAATACCGGTAAAGTCCAAGACCCAGGACATCATAATATCCCCTCTTAGGAAATTTTTCCCTCGAAATTTGGTTACACCTCTCACCAACCACTTCCAAGGAACAAGAACAATACAACAACGGAAGGGCTTAAAGTGGTAACAACCACACTAATGACAATAATGAATCCATAATAACAACAAATCAATTATAGCATGAAGATCTCAATCTCAACAACATTTCACTATCATCATCAAAATTTTCCATGGGCCAAGGCCCCAATCCAACAACTACTAATATGATAATCATAAGCATAAATTCAAAAAAACAATTGTGACAACTCCACAACAGTCCTCCTGCCAAAAAAAAAACCCGAGCACAATTTTACACAAAAAAAAAAAAAAAAAAACACCACAACAACCATCATAACAACAAATGGTTTACAATTTCAATGATTTATTCTCAAACACAAGAGAAAATTACAATCTAGAACAAACTAAGTGTTCACAAATAAATCTGAACACTTGGAGCGGACTTCCACATCCTATTCCCAAGTTGCTTCCTCAACCTCATGGTATCTCTACAACACCTTCACTAATGGTATAGTCTTGCCCATCAACACTTGTTCTAAGACATCTAAAATTTGGACCGGTCATTTTTCGTATGAGGCATCCTCATCTACTTCCTAATCAACCGAATCAAGTACATGTGAAGGGTTGAGTTCGTACTTCTTAAGCATAGATACATGGAACACGTTGTGAACCCCAGAAAACTATGGCGGTAAGGCCAAACGGTATGCCACTTCTCAAATCCGTTCTAAAATCTTAAAAGGTCTAATAACCTTGGAGACAACTTCCCACTCTTACCAAATCTCATTAAACCCCATCTTGGTGAGATCTTAAGAAACACCTGGTCACCAATCTCAAAGGATAGATGTCGCCTTCTTCTATCGGTATAACTCTTCTGTCAGCTTTGAGCTGTAGCTAACCTTTTTTGAATGAGAGCAACTTTCTCAGTCGTCTCTTGAACAATCTCCGGGTCCAACATCAGTGCATCACTCTTTTCGGCCCAACAAACTGGTGATGATATGTGCCTCTCCCAAGACCCCTTGAAATCAAGGACACAAGCCCTAAGCATGTCCTTCAAAATCTGGATAGTACGCTCTGACTGCCATCGGTTTGAGAATGATAAGTGGTGCTAAGGGTCAACTTAGTTCCCAACGCCCCTTGAAGGCTTTGCCACAATTGGACGGTGAAACGAGGATCTTTATCTGAAACAATGGTCACAAGGACCCCATGAAGTCTAACTATCTCTCTAATGTACAACTCTGCCAAATAATCAACTAAGTCGCTGGTGCGCATCGGAATGAAGTGCGTAGACTTAGTCAACCTATCAATAATCATCCAAACGGCATCATTACCCCATTGTGTTCTAGAAAACCCAACTACAAAATCCATGGTAACATGCTCTCATTTATACTCGGTTATAGGTAAGGGTTATAGCAAACCCTTTTGGTGCTCGGCCTTCATTAGTTGGCAAGTATGGCATTTTGAAACAAATAAGGCGATGACTCGTTTCATATCCCTTTACCAGAACTGACGATATGATACATTTTAGTGCCTCTCGGATGTACCGCAAGGCATGAGTGATGAAATTCTCGGAGTACCTCTTCTCTACAAGATTCCAACATGAACAAACGGTGTAGATACCTTATACTCAAATCCGAGTGGATGTTCAAACCCTTCTCTTCCTTATCGTTGGAGATCCTGTCACAGATTGTCTCCATTTCACGATCATCGTGTTACGTCTCTATCACTCTACTAACCTAGGTAGATTGAGAAATTAAAGTGAATAAGGTAGCACCCTCGCTAGACTCGCCCAGATGCAAATCAAACTCGCCGATATCACCTAGCATATTCCATTCCCGAATGGCCACACTTGCTACACTACTCACATATTTTAGACTCAAGGCATTGGCCAGAACATTGGCCTTCCCCGGATGATAATGCAACTCAAAGTGATAATCCTTAATAAATTCCATCCATCTATGTTGGCATAAATTCAAGTCTTCTGGGGAAAACAAGTATTTTAGACTCTTATGATCAGAAAACATCAAACTTCTCGCCATACAAATAATGCCTCCAACTCTTCAAAGCAAATATTACTGTCGCTAACTTTAAATGATGGGTGGGGTAGTTCTTCTCATGAGTTTTCAATTGTTGTGAACCATAGACCACAACCTTCCCTTCTTGCATCAATACACAACCAAGACTATTCCGGGACGCATCACAATAAACGGTATAACCCAAGCTCCTTTTCAAAATTATCAAAACCGGTGCGGTGGTCAACCTAGTCTTAAGTTCTTGGAATGACTTCTCACATGTCTTGTTCCATACAAATTTGACACCCTTCCTTGTCAACCTGGTCAAAGGTGTGACTAGTCTAGAGAAGTCTGTTACAAAACGACGATAATACCCGGCTAACCCTAGGAAACTCCGGATCTCAAAAGTATTCTTTGGTTGTTCCCAATCTTGCATGACATCTATCTTAGAAGAATCTACAGTTACTCCGTCTCCTGACACAATATGCCCAAAAAATTTCAATTCAATCAGCTAAAACTCACATTTCTCAAATTTAGCATACAATTGGTGCACCCTAAGAAAGTCAAGCACTATTCACAAATGTTCCTCGTGTTCCTTCTCGGAGGTCGAATAAATCAAGATATTGTCCACAAAGACGACCATGAAATGGTCTAAAAATTCACGGAAGACTCGATTTATCAAGTCCACAAAGGAAGCAAGAGCATTGGTTAAACCGAAAGGCATTACTAGGAACTCATAGTGGCAATATTGTATGCGAAAAGCCATTTTTTTGGATATTCTCCTCAACTCTCAATTGATGGTACCCCGATCACAAGTCTATCTTCGAAAAGCAATGAGACCCTCTAAGTTGGTCAAATAAGTCATCTATTCTTGGTAGAGGATATTTGTTCTTAATGTTAACAAGATTCAATTTGCAGTAATCAATACATAACTCCAATGACTTATCCTTCTTCTTTGCAAAGAGAGTCGGTGCTCTATAAGGTGATGTACTAGGACGAATGAAACCCTTGTCTAAAATTACTTGGAGTTGGATCTTTAACTCATGTAACTCAGTGGGTGCAAATCTATATGGCGCCATGGAAATTGGCGTCGTGCTAAGCACTAAGTCAATGAAGAATTCTATCTCCCGTTGAGGAGGTATCCCGGTAAAATCTTCAAGGAAAATATCAGGGTATTTATAGACTACCCTTTGGTAAATCACTCCGAACCACGCTACCATTATTGGCTAAGGCAAAGAGGAAACTAAGCCCTCTTTAACACTTAAAGTCAAACAATGGTGGAAACAATCTATCACCTTGATCACATAGAAAATAGAAACAATCCCCAGTAGGTGTGCATACGGACACTTAGTGACGCTGACAATCTACAGTAGCCCGGAAGTGTGTCAACCAATCCATACCCAAAATAATGTCAAAAGTGTGCATGTCTAAGATGATGAAGTCAAAAGAGAGTCGGTGATCTGTGACCTCAATCATGCAAGAGCGGTACACTCGGCCTAATGCCACTCTACCCCCAACTAGTGACTTAACCCACACAGAAGACTCTAACTGATTAATCTCTAACCCCAATGTAGAAGCAAAAGTAGAAGATATAAATGAATGCGATGCACCACCTATATCAATCAATACACTAGCCAAGGAATTGAACACAACAAAATTATCTCTCACAACAGAGGATCCTGGTAACTGCTCCGGCACTGTACTAGTATACACACGCCTTTGTGGCCTCTAATCAACTTGCTCATCTCTTGGAGCATCGGCCTACTACATTGATTGAGCCGAGGTGGCTCTCTAATTAGCTCGTGAGGTCTGGACTGAATGAGCCTACTGATGGCTCTAAGTCTGCCTTGACCTTGATGCGCCAAATGCCCCTCCCAACTGCTGGCAAGCTCTCTTCAAATGCCCTGACTGACCACACTGAAAGCATGTAGGCCCTTGTCCCTTACTCTAGGACTAACTTTGAGATTGGTTAGGTGGTGGTGGTGGTAACATCTGCTGCCCTCCTCTCTTTTATAGGCAGACACTAGCCTTGTGACCTAGTTAGCCATACTTGAAACAAGTAAAGCTTCCCTGAGCATTCCTTCCCAGGCCAGCACTTGACAATAAGAATGTAGATCTAGTCTGCTATGATTGGGGCTGGGATGAAGCAAAGCCCCTATGCTTCTTGCTAGGTCTAAAGTACCCTTGAGACTTTTGACCCCTAGACCTCGAACCCCAAAGTCTCTTCTTCTTGGCCTGCATTGTAATCTCTATATGTGCTGCCGCTTCCACAAGACGGTCATAGTTCCAGATCATGTTTCCGACAACCTTGAATAAGATTTTGGTCCTCAATCTCTTCTCGAATTCTATGCAACGACGTTCCTCCTTTGCCACCAACTCTGGTGCAAACCGAGACAAACTAGTGAAGGCTGCTTCAAACTTGGCCACAAATAGGTTTAGTTGCTTGAGGTTTTGAAATTCTCCACTCAGTCTCTCCCTAGTTATGGGAGGTAGGTATTTCTCTTGAAAAGCAATGACAAAAGATTTCCATGTCGGTCCCACTCTATCTTTGGCGTACTTCCACCATTAGCCTGCATCCTCTTTGAGGTAGTAACTTGCTAGAGTCACCCTTATTTCACTATCATCAATGTGAAGCATCTTAAATGTCTTCACTGATTGCTCCAGCCACTCGTCTGCTTTCTTGGCCTTTGGGCCACCATGAAACTCATCTGGCTTGGGCCGCAAAAACTCTCAAGTAAGAAAGCCCGCATTTGTCTCCACGGCGTTCTCTTAGGCTTGGTTCTCTGCCCTTTAGATGCTCATCAACTCTCTCAAAGTGCTCGCCGTCTCACGGGTTAAGGCACCCATTGCGGCTTGACCAGCTTGCTCTAGGACTCTCGCTCGCTCCATTTGCTTGACCACATTAGGCAACCCTTCTTCTTATACTAGAACCTCATGGACCAGTACTTCATGAACACCTCGGCGAGGCTTACCACGTCTCCCGTCTTTACTACCACATGCCTGACCTCTTCCTGACATCCTAATTAAGGATAAGAGTAAACAATTTAGCACACAATCGCATATGTGCTCGTAACTTATCTCACATGTCCCATCACAGCAATTTTATACATTCTTATTTCATGAAAACACTTAGTTTCACTCCATATAAGCACTTAATCACATAAACACATACGAATTACTCATTTACGATGAAATTTGTCCCACGAAGTGCCTAAGATTCTTATTAGAATGAGCATTGATCTGGTGCCCTTCTATTAAGGCTTCAAGGAATTTAGTAAGCGCAAACAACATCCCAAAAGTTCAATCCTATACCTATCTAGTCATAAAAACATGTTGTCACATAACACCTAAAGCATGGAACATCTCTTAGTTAAGCGAAATGAACCTATTGTGGAAAACGACCACTTCTTACGAGCCTCAAGTATTCAAACCCGATAGCTCTGATACCAAGTTGTAACATCCCAAAGAAATTAACACAAATAGGCTCCTTATCTTCCAACAACATAATCTTATTTTCCAAATTAATAGCTTCCATTGCTTAAAGTATACGGAATATAAAGCCTTATCATTAACATCATCACAGATCTCTTACATTTGTATTCATTAAACTCTAGAGATTTACAAAAATACTCTACATGCGATTATACATTCAACATTCCTAGAATATGAATCTATAGCATGTGGCGCAATAAATCAAGTACATTTCAATGCCCTCAAGGGTTACAAATTCCAAGGCTTAAGCCCAGTTACACAAAAATGATTTTTCGAACCTATACATGTAAAGCCCTTGGCTTGTCAAAAATAATTACAACAAAAGAAATGAGCCTTGTGCTCTCAAAATACATTCCACACCTTTAACTCGGTGGGATCACCACATTATTTCTTGCACAAAATCCCATAGAGTGAACACAAAGCCTAGTAGGAAGATCTTAACAAAGTATATACATTTTTATATTGTTCCCTAAGATGAATACATATGCTATGTCATGTTCAAAATATATATCTCTATCTTTTGAAAATCTTGTGTTCAAGGCAATTTGAAAACACAAAAATTCAATAACTTCAATGTAGTTCAAGGGGTGGTAGATACAACACAGGTAATCCCCAAGTTGGTGTCTGCAAGTAGGCATATTAAGTACTACCAATCACCACTTTACCGGTTGCTAACCAGAAGGCACGTGGTACCTCCTTTATGCATGTTTCGGTCATTCACCATGGACACGTAGGCCAACTTAACCAATGCCAACCACACCCCTTATGCAGACTTACCAACGTATTTACTCCAAAATAAATCAAAATGATCTTGTTTTACAAAAAAATTCCTTTCTCAAAGCAATAATTTTCAATGCAAGATTCAAAATTAATTGCAACAATGATAAAATGAAATGGCAATGCAAAATGTACAAGGCATTAATATAGTTCCATTTTCAATTCCACTACACAATTCTCCATTGTGATCAAATTCTCACATCTCTTATCAATGTAACATCATAATACATTTTACAAGAGATAATATAACAATATCATCATTCATGCATTCTCTACATATTAATCATCATTTTTAAAATTTGGGTTTTCCAAGACAAACAACAATAATCTATTTTTCAAGCTTCCCTAATCAACAATTCTCATTTTCTCATGAAATTTTCTCATTTGATACAACTATAGAAATTTCCTCCACCACTTATTCACATAACAATTTATCAAGTATAAATTTCACAATATCTCAACATCTTTCTCAAAACCCCCAAATTTCTAGGGTTTCCACCAAAAACTAGGGTTTTGTTCCATTTTTGAAAAGATTTTTCCAAAACAACACCCACACATTAGAACATAGCTCATATTCTCAAAATGTTTTGGGAAAAATAGGGAAAATCCACGTTTACAATCATCTAGGGTTCATCAACCCAAAACCATAGTTCAAACATATAAGAAATACCCCAAACAAGGATAAACTTGCAAAAATCATATATATAACTCTAAGAATGTCCTTACCTCAAGTTTGGAAGAGAAAGGAGATGAAAACCTTAGAACTCAGCGTTGATGAAAACTCGATGTAATCGGTGTAGACTTAGCCCTCGTCGCCCTCTTCAATTTGTTGTAAAATGCCCTCTCAATTTCTTGGAGATTTTTGCTCAATCTTAGAGAGAAGTTTGGATTTTGGTGTGTTTGTAGAGAGAAGAAAGAGAAAATATGGATATATATATATATAGAGAAGAGTGAAAAAGTGTCTCAAACATGTTTTTTGGCATCAATTTTGAGAAAATGGGCTCAAAATTTGAGATAGAAACGTCAAAATCCTTACGAGCAGTTCAAATTCTGTAGGAGCAGATTCTGATGCTCCATAGACAGTTTGCTCCAAAGAAGACCCAAACATTTTCACCAAAATCCACTTGAGCGGTTTTGCCCAGAAAACTCAGAAAATCTCTATCTGATTTCACTTGAGTAGTTGCCAAATTTGCACGAGCGGTTTTTCCCAAAAAACTCAGAAATTGATTTTCCCCCCAAAACAAGTTCCAACACCCAAAACTTAAAATTTTTAACCCAGAAATGTTAAGAGTGGTTAAGTAAGAGAAGAAAAGAAATCTCAAAAACCCAATATGATAATCAAAGGGTCGAAAGTAAAACAAACTATCTTACTACGCAATGCTGGTCAAGTCCAAGACTTGGGACATCACAGGAAAAAAAGAAATTTTAAAATGAAAAAATTGATAATGTTTTCAATTTTAAAATTGTAAAAAACTGGTAATGTTCTCTATTTTATTGGATAGTTGAATCAAACCAATAAGTAGAAAGGCAAAAACGTTTAAACTCATACTCTGTTTTTTCGTCAGTTAGTGAAGCAATTATCTGGAACATTACTATGCAAAATTGATAATGTTCATAGTTTTAAAAATTGAGAAAAACTGATAGTATTTTCAGTTTTACTAAATAGAACTTATTTGTTCAAAATTTTTTAGATAGGACCTGAGCTACCATAACATTTGTAAATAAGATTTTTAGGTAATTAACTCAAAAAATAATTATAAATTAATGACAAAATTTATAAATATTAATAATTTAATTTATAAACTTTCTCATGAATTTCGTTTTTTTTTTTCTCACTAACACTTTTATCAAGTAATAACTCCAAAAAAAATCACATCATTGTTTGACATGTAATATGATATAGTTTTTTTGGTGTCTTTTCCTAAACCCTAAATTCTTTTCTTTTTCTTTTAGATTTTTCTGCAAGGAAAAGGGAAGGTGGTGGTTGTTCTCATATCTCTTCGATCTCTCTCTATCCTCTTTCTCTCTTATCCTTTTAATTTTTCTCCAAATTTGGTTCTTAAATAGATCTGATATTTGCCGCACTAGTCCAACCATCACTGCCTTACATATTCCATCCTCAAGCTCAAAACTTTAATTGTTGGCTTCAAATCTTTTCACAGCCCAAAGACTAACTTTGGATAAGGCATTTGTTTCACGTTAGACGAACACTTCAAGCTCAATGTTCTATCTTGACTAGCGAAGGTCTACAGATTCCAAATTCATCCAATGGAGTTTTGGATGAGTTCGGTGGTGACTTGGATATGATTTTTTTTTATTTGGTTTTCTTAATTTTTAGTTTGTTGATGTAATAATCCTTCTTATGTGGAGGTTTGTTTCCCTTCCTTGTGGGGACTTTGTCTTCTCTTCTATGGAGGCTTAGATCATTCTTTCTATAGAGGTTTATCTCTTTTTGAGATCTTGTGATACCGCTATACCAAATTGATCCAATCTTTGATCAGTTTTGTAGAGAATATTTTGTTTTTGATAAAACAAGAAGTAAATGTGATGTATTTTGCTATACACATGTGTGGGTTGAGTTGGATAAATAATTATATTTTGGACTTGGGGTCATTGTTATGTGGTTTACATAGTAGTGATTGTTGTGCGGTTTATGAGACTTACTTCGGGTTTTATTTTGATGATTTGAATCATTTATTTTAAAAAAAATATTAGGTAGAACATAACTATAAAATATTAAGTCGATCGGTTCATCAAAACACATTTGTATATAAAACAAATAAATATGTAAGAATTAAACTGAATACAAATATGAGTTGATGAAGGAATTATTGATATCCGATCAATTTGATTTTTCACAAAAATGTTCTACTCAATATTCTTTAAAAATTGAACCGTTCATATTATAAAAATAAAACTCGAAATAATTCTAACAGTCACTATTGTACGGCTCGCACAACAGCGACTCCAAATCTTTATTTGTGTGTTGGTTTCAATTTTCTAGATTCAATTTTCTAGAAATTGAGTTTTTTATTTTTCGTATTTTTTTTTGTTTTAAGTGAATATTTTTAAAATTTTAAGCAATTTTATTTTTTTAATATTTTTAGATGCACCTTACTTAGATGTATCTAAAAAGTAAAATATTTGTAAAAAATCAATAAATACACTAAAATACGAAAAATGTACTAAATTCTCGTATTTTAATTTTTTTTTTGTATTTAAATAGATTTCTAAAGATTTGTTTTCACAAAGATTATACTTTTTAAGTGTATCTAAAAATTTAAAAAATTGCTTAGAATATTAAAAAAATTCAATGAAAACAAAAAAAATACAAAAAACAAAAAAATTTAATTTTTTGAAAATTGAATCTTGAAAATAGGAACCAAACTATGACGGTTCTGGTTTAGACCCGACCCATTTAATACTCTTAGATTCGAGATTTAGTGCTTTTAACTGTTATTCATATCATTTGTTGTCTTGTTAGTGGTTGAGTTGAGTTATTGGTCATGTTTGAAATAGGTTGGGAGTTAGTTTTCAAAAATTTTGCTGTCCAGTTTTCTGTTTGTTTGCTCTAGTGGTATTTTGGTCGCTTGAGCTGTCTTTGAGATTTCTCAATATTTTTGCAAGTTCGCAAAATTTCTGAGAGTAAGGTGATCTTCGCTCGAGCGGTCTTTCTTGTACTCGAGCAGTTTCTGCTATCTACAAAACTTCTGGTAGGGGGTCATTGTGTGCTTAAGCAGTGTTTTATTCACTTGAGCGGTGTCACGTATTGTCTCTGATGCTCGAGCGGTGTTTTGGTCGTTTGAGCGGTCTGCACATATATCAGTTCGAGAAAAGAGGTCTTTAGATCACTTTTTCATTCTCTCTCTCTCTCTCTCTCTCTCTCCCTTTCTAAAACCTTCCAAACCCTAATCTCTTCACTTTCTCTTTCTAGTTCTTGCTTAAAACGTCAAATACTCCACCATCCATCGATTTCTCCACCATTGCTCTGTGTAGAAAAAAAGTAGAGCTCATCGAGGGCTTCAATTTAATTGGAGAGGATATCGTTTTTTGCTTCGTCAAAGTTTCACTCTTGCTCTCTTCCTTTTCTACTCTTATGGTAGGGATTTTTTTCAACCTCCTGTATAATTTTTAGCTTAGTTATTTGCTCATAGAAAGTGTTTGGTGATTGGAGATTTTAGGTTAAACCAAGTGTTGATTTTGAAAGGTAAAAGAGGGTTTTCAAAAGGATGCTTGAGAAAGGTTGGGAATGTGTTATGATTGAGA